AACCGCCAATAACGCGTGAGAGGACGCCGGAGGCACCCTGCCCCTAACCCTAAACCCCTACCCTAACCCCCTGCCCTTAAACCCTGCCCCTAACCCCTGCCCCCTGCCCCTACGCCCTGCCCCTAAACCCTGCCCCTGCCCCTGCCCCTGCCCCCAAGGCGCCGGACGGGACACTCGCGCTCATCATGGCGCCGACGCGCGAGCTGGTCCAGCAGATCGAGGACGAGGCGCGCAAGTTTTGCGGCGAGCTCAAGATCCGCGTCTACTCCATCGTCGGCGGCATGTCCATCGAGGAGCAGGGCTTCATCGCCAACCAGGGCGTGGAGGTGATGGTCGCGACGCCGGGCCGGCTGAACGACGCGCTCGACCGGCGGTACCTCGTGCTCAACCAGTGCAACTACGTGGTGCTCGACGAGGCGGACCGGATGATCTCCCCACATCTCCCCATATCTCCCCATATCTCCCCATATCTCCCCATATCTGCCCGCTCACAGGCGGACCGGATGATCGACATGGGCTTCGAGCCGCAGGTGAACGCCGTCCCCTACCCCACGGTACCCTCCCGCCACCCTCCCCTACCCCACGGTACCCGAACCCACCCAGGTGAACGCCGTGCTCGCGGCAATGCCCACCTCCAACCTCAAGCCCGACGACGAGTCTGCGCTCATCGACCTGTCGGGCGACACTAAGTACCGGCAGGTGCCTCCGGCCCCCGTGGTGGGTTCGGGTGCCGTGGGGTAGGGGAGGGTGGGTTCGGGTACCGTGGGGTAGGGGAGGGTGGGTTCGGGTACCGTGGGGTAGGGGAGGGTGGGTTCGGGTACCGTGGGGTAGGGGAGGGTGGGTTCGGGTACCGTGGGGTAGGGGAGGGTGGGTTCGGGTACCGTGGGGTAGGGGAGGGTGGGTTCGGGTACCGTGGGGTAGGGGAGGGTGGGTTCGGGTACCGTGGGGTAGGGGAGGGTGGGTTCGGGTACCGTGGGGTAGGGGAGGGCAGTCCCTCCCGCCCCCTGGCGAGTCGAGGCACACGCACGCTCTCTCGAGGTCTCTGGGAGCAGAGCCCCGGCGAATGGGCGCACCTCCCCGTATCTCCCCATCCCTCCCCACCCCTCCCGGCAGACCTACATGTTCTCGGCGACGATGCCGCCGTCGGTGGAGCGGATCGCGAAGAACTACCTGCGGCAGCCCGCCTTTGTGTACGTCGGCGACCAGAGCTCCTCCAAGGCCAACATCACGCAGCACGTCGAGATGCTCAAGGAGAACAAGAAGAAGGACAAGCTGCTCGAGCTGCTGCAAAACGGGCCGCCGCCGCCCATCATCATCTTTTGCAACGGCGAGCGGGCCCCCCCCCCC